TTAATTATTTTATATTTTTTTTTACTAGATTTTGGAAACTAATAGAAAATTTTCACTACATGCCGATTTTGTTTCTGTGCAAGTGTTAAGTGGTATAATAGTAGAAGTGTTATAGTTACAATATCCTTGAAAAACAGACATGAAAGCTTAATTAGTCATAATTAAATTTTAAAAATTAAAAAAAAGGGTGGTTATGCATAAGAAACAGAATAATTTATTACCACTGCGTATTATAAACATTATAGTTATAATGTCCTTGAAAAATAGAAATCAAAGCTTAAGTAGTAGTAATTTAATTTTAAAAATTAAAAAAAACAAAAGTTGGTTATTTAAAAAAACAGAATAATTTATTACCACTGCGTATTAGGCTTATACATTTTTTATAATACTTTAACGCAACATACTTATAAAACCTTTTACTTACACTACAAAGTAATTTATATAGGATTCAATATGTGGAAGGATTTTCGTAGGAAACTATTTCAAGACAATACTGGACTGTATACAGTACATGTTTAACAAAAAATTGTACAACAATATGAGAATACCGTCAAATAATTGTCTTATTTTATCTTACGCTCGAACACATCTTGTACTGTACGTAAAAAAAACATGATTGTTTTAACGCACCAGGCCTTTCCCAGAAGATTCAAACGTGCAGTCTTATTAAGATTTGCGACATCGGTGTAGTGTTGAGGTAGATAAAAGATTTTTTCGATTTCCGTTACCCACAAGAAATCAATTTTGCCGTTCATTGTAACCACTTTATCTAAAAAACGAAATTACAATTATGCATTACCTATAACAACCGTTAAGCACAATTATCCTTCCTTACTTTTTGCCAGTGACATTGAACTGGTTGTAATGGTTTTTAATGTCCTAACCAGAGCCTGGCGGTCAAAATTTTCATCCAGAATTTGTTGAAGTTGACTTTCCTCTTTGTTCGTTTCTACATTTTTAAAGTTTGTCCAGAACAAACGCTTTCGCCGTTGAGTAGAATATTCAGCGGAGTCCACGAGCAATGGATCTTGTTTCAAGATTCTATGAAAATATTATCGTTTAATACATGTACTTCATTTTTGTTTGTTTTTTAAGATTTCTCAACCGAATTGTCGTTTACACTCCACAAGCATTTGACGACAAAGGATTTTTGGTACAATATTACAAGATATGTAAAGAGCTGTTGCATTAAACGTGCGCTCTGCACGAGCAAGTTAACCATTTGTTGAAATTCTAGCTACACTGAGAGAAAATTAGTGTACCTGCTACACAAGGGCAGTTGTTATCTATAGCTCATACTCAAGCAGAAGAGGCCTAAGACCCAAGGCTATTGCAGTTGCTGTACTTATAGACTTGGGTAGCTGCTGCACTAGTCATGTGGTGTACACATTGAGCCAATAAGTGCATGTTGCAGCAGCAACAATAGTCATGGGGTATTCGACAAGAACTATACCTACACATTAAGCACAATCAATGTAAGTTCNAATTACTTTTTTAAATTTCGAGCAAAACGCATCGACTACCGTCGACTGCATATAATATATGTATATGAGTGACGCACGTTGCGCGTTGAACTGCGCATATATTATCACCCATCAATTTCTGACGGAAAAAAGATAATTTTTTACCACTCCTAGCATCTGCGATTTGCCGCAACTTGGGTTCCAAGTATTAATAATCGTGAAAAATGCTTGACAAAATTAAAGCAGTAATTTTTTTTTTATTTTTACAGGTGGAACACTTACTTTGGGTTTGGGTTTGATGTTCGGACTGAGGAAAACTCCGAATCTTGCCGCAAATGGTACATCTCTTTGGAAGCTTTTAATTTTATGTCCATTGGCCAACTTGCGGCAGTAATAAAATTTGTTCCCTATGTCACTTTTTATATGATTGAATAACTGGAACTCAAATCGCGAAAAAACTTTGGATCTCCACGAATCATGAGGTTTCTAGACATCTGTGAGTTTTGCGGCAGTAATTTTTTTTATGGGCCTCAGCTCCTAGTCTGTTACTCTTTTCAACGACTTCCATACGGCAAATACTACTGCAGTGCTGACGATAAATATTAGGGGCTCCAGCACGTAATGGAAGCACAAGCAGTAAGTAGAAAGACAGCATTCGATAGTATATCTATATAGTGGAAAGCAAAAGAAACAAGCTATGTCTGTAGCTATAATAACGAATGCTATCTTACTGCTTACTGCTTGTGCTTTCGTTTTGTGCGGGAACCTTAAACGATAGGGATTACATGTAGACTACTTCCCCGAGTAATATACTAAACTCCTCGACTCGAATATACTCAATTCATCGACTCTCGATAATCTCGATATTGTCGCGCACATCTGCGACACTTTCGACCAGTGTCTCAACAGTGTCGAGCAGTCTAGAAGTTGTTGAGACAATCCCGCGTATAGTCGACAAGCTATCAAGTACTCTCATGCACAGGTTGGCAACAGTGTCCTCAGTAGTTAGGAGATTATATAGTACACACTGCCTAGATTTTCGTTGTTTTTTTTGGAATTCGCTCGTGCTTGTCTCTACCGGCGCTTGTAACTGCTACACTTGCCGCACAAGTACAGGACACCGACGTGCTCTTCACGAAGAAAATTTTGCTGTTGGGACTACCCAGTGAGAATTATGAGTAAGGATTGGGAGGAAATTTTGCTTAGCGCAATCGAACAGAGACCGGCAATTTGGCAGAGTAACCATCCACAACACAAAAATAATAAAGTTCTTGGAGGCTTATGGAGAGATCTTGCCCTTAACCTCAACAAAAGCCGTAAGTAATCTTTCGAAATTATGTTTATATGAAAAAGGAGACTCTAAAGCCCTGACTTCTCTTTACGCACTTATCTATATGACATTAAATGATTTGACTAGGGCCTCTCACTTATCAGGAATATAAACGTCACCACCAGCTTTCACAGTAACAATCCAAAAATCGAGACCTGTACTAACGAGATCCTGGACAGCTTTTAAGCTGTGATCTACTTCTGGCACGCAATCTACGCTTATAATCCCGTCGGCAAGAATTTCGTTGACAGCCTGGACTCCAATGATAACATCTTATAGAACCTGTTGAATATTGGGGGACTTAGAGAAGGAAGAGATGTTCTAAAAAAAGATAATACCCACAAAAGATATAACAATTTTCTTTTTACATAATGTGTATTTCTTATAATACGCTCGAAAAAGGAGCATAAGAAAAATAATGTCAATTTAATGTCGTTAAAAATCTACCTATCGTAGTAAACGTTTGTATGAATTGAAATACAAATAGCCTAGAAGTATAAGTATTTATTTTTCCTGCAATCACACTTAATTTTAAATGTTAAATATTCAACTCAATTTTAATTATTTTATATTTANTAAAATATGTATTACTCTAGTAATAAAAAAGAAAAAATAACTAAATGTAAGCCCCCATGTATTAAAAAAAACGAAAACTTGAGTAATATAACTATCTCTACGAAGACCCTTCATTGTTATAATGACTTTCACTCTATATGCTTCAGGATCTGTGAATGTTACAGATTCGAGCTACAATTTGATTCTGGATTTTGTTTTGTAAATTATACTATTTATTACAAAAAAAAAAAAGTACAGTAAAACGTCTATAGTAAACTATAAAATGGGTTTATAACTGTAGTTTTCTATAACTAAGACTGAAATGACAAATATTAAGTATTCAATACCTTGACTTTTATTGGTGTTATTGTATATATATACTTCTGCCTTATTTTAACAGTGCGGTACAGCATATGTTACATATGTGAAAACAAGATAACTTTGATTGTAATGTGATGTTATTTTCACTTGAAAAATATAATTATCAGAGCAAAACGTCAAATATGAACGGTATGTGCTGTCATTGCACTGCACGCAAAAGCATCTGATGCATAGATGGCAGGAGTCTGACTTGTGCAGCTGCTACACAAGTAACTGAGGAAACAGGCATTAGGTCATTTTGTGTCATAATTTCATATGCTCTGGCGGATTATGCACTGGTTTTCTGTCAGTGTACCTTTAAGTATTAAAGACAGGAAAGATATAATTAATTAAAGGAAAACACGAAGAATCGTTTCATTAAACACTGAGTAACTCCATCTAACGATCTAGTTGTAAAAAAGTGAATCCTCTCATTACCCTTCCGTTGGTTTTTTTGTACGTACAACTTGAGGCAAGCTTATATTTTACGAGATGTTAAAATTCATTGAAACGGATTGTACATGCACTTGTGCAGAGTGCATTTAATGCGTGCACGTATACTAGCATATCTCTTAACAGATCTTGTAATATATAATCATGATCATGTTTTTGTTGGGTTATTTAATTTACACGCACTTGCTGATTTTATCTCTTGTAACAGATGTCATGGAAGAGACATTCTCAAACAACCAAAAAAAATCGCAGCTCATGTAGTATTTCCTCAATAATTCTAAAATCCGATGATACTCATAAAACAGTATGCCAGTGCCATTGGAATCTAGACAAATAATAAATCATCATTGAATAACAATGAAAACATTTTGTGTAGATTATCGTTTCAGGCATGTCGGAAAATGAAAAGTAACCATCTAAACCTCGACGTTTGGGATTGGCCGAACTCAATTCATTGCAGGGAGAGCCACCGAGCAAGAGATGTATTGGGACGATTTTCCTTATTGTTGTCTCATCAATTTTCCGGACATCACCAAGCTGTATAACTTTATCTCCGTGATTATGTTGACTGACCATGATAGCATTTGTATCTATCTCAGAACTGTAGTAACAGTCAACATCAAAGTTCAAATTTTTGAGGGCAACTAGACCTGTAAAAAGATGTTTACAAAGTGTGAAATTCAACATAATTATATACCCAAATTTCAATTTTATGGATAAGTAAATTTCAAGGACGACCCACCTTCCCCCGGGGGAGGCAAATAAACAGCTACCAATGGAACAAACTATTCAGCCCAATGATGTGAATCGTCAGCTCTATGTAACTGCATTATTCTTAATAGTATGCAAAAACTTGGTACTCGAGCGACTTACTAAATGAGGGCAACAGGGTATTTTTTTCCTGGTCGGATGTACATGAGGCGCAAATATATTTATCCCAACAAGGGCACAGCAATGACTAGAAAACGCATGAGGTGTAAAAAATGACTGTAGCATGTTTGAGACATGGAAATACACATTGTTATATTTTGAACGATGAATTGACTTTTTTTTTAGTCTACTTCGTTTTGTTTCTTTTCAATTATTGTTGAATCATCCACATATTAACAAGGATATATACTTATTATATACACCCAAACTCTCGACATACCTGTACTGATGCCGTCGAATAGAGATAAAACTCGAATTTTTTTTTTCCATTGGCGGTTGTGAGATTGGTTACAGTAGCACAGCTGTGGGTTTTTAAACGGTCTTTTAAACAATTTTTCAAATTACCGTTGTTATTCCTCCACATATTCCTCACTCTGTCGCGGTATGTCGCTCCCCGCACTTCGTGTTCAGCTGTTGCCATCTAAAAAAAGTAGCTGCATATAGAAAAGAGGCACATAATAAATAAATTGTGCATTATTTGTTACATTATATGCCAAAATACGTATTATAATATGTTGCGGCGAGTGCAGGAGCATGATCCATAATTTGTGTACCAAAACATCTTAAATTTACTTATTGAATATATTATCAAAATGAATTGTTTCAAAGTGGGTAGGTGTCAGTTATCCATACTTTGACAGCTACCATATTTTCATCTTATATATACATTATCAACGACTTTTAAAAGAAGATGTGATAGAAACCAACGTTATATAGTACCGNATAATTGTTTTATTATCCTTTATGATATACTTTAATTTTAGCTGGGTCTACTGAGATTTCCTCGAGTTATGTAAGAAAAACTGTATATCCCAGTATTCTACACTATTGCTCTTACTGATCGTTTCACTTGTTCCGAGTGTCCAAAAAATTAAAAAAAATTCCAGTATGATTGTTTTAAAATCCTTCATAATAAACTTTAATTTCAGCTGGGTCTACTGAGATTTCCCTGAGTTACGTAAAAAAAAGTTTATATCTCAGTTTTTTGCACTATTGCTCTTACTGATCGTTGCACTTGTTCCGGGTGTCCAAAAAATTTAAAAAAATTCCAGTACACTTAGATTATCATTCGTCATACTATACTTCAATTTTAGCTGGGTCTACTGAGATTTTCTCGAGTTATGTAAGAGAAACTGTATATCCCAGTATTTTACTTTATTGCTCTTACTGACCGTTTTACTTGTTCCGGGTGTCCAAAAAATTAAAAAAAATTCCAGTATAATTGTTTTATAATCCATCATAATAAACTTTAATTTCAGCTGGGTCTACTGAGATTTCCCTGAGTTACGTAAGAAAAAGTTTATATCTCAGTTTTCTGCACTATTGCTCTTACTGATCGTTGCACTTGTTCCGGGTGTCCCAAAAATTAAAAAAAATTCCAGAATAATTGTTTTATTATCCTTTATGATATACTTTAATTTTAGCTGGGTCTACTGAGATTTCCCTGAGTTATGTAAGAAAAACTGTATATCCCAGTATTCTACACTATTGCTCTTACTGATCGTTTCACTTGTTCCGAGTGTCCAAAAAATTAAAAAAAATTCCAGTATAATTGTTTTATAATCCTTCATAATAAACTTTAATTTCAGCTGGGTCTACTGAGATTTCCCTGAGTTACGTAAGAAAAAGTTTATATCTCAGTATTCTGCACTATTGCTCTTACTGATCGTTATACTTGTTCCGGGTGTCCAAAAAATTTTTAAAAAATTCCAGTACACTTGTATTATCATTCGTCATAATATACTTTAATTTTAGCTGGGTCTACTGAGATTTCCTCGAGTTATGTAAGAAAAACTGTATATCCCAGTATTCTACACTATTGCTCTTACTGATCGTTTCACTTGTTCCGAGTGTCCAAAAAATTAAAAAAAATTCCAGTATAATTGTTTTATTATCCTTTATGATATACTTTAATTTTAGCTGGGTCTACTGAGATTTCCTCGAGTTATGTAAGAAAAACTGTATATCCCAGTATTCTACACTATTGCTCTTACTGATCGTTTCACTTGTTCCGAGTGTCCAAAAAATTAAAAAAAATTCCAGTATAATTGTTTTATAATCCATCATAATAAACTTTAATTTCAGCTGGGTCTACTGAGATTTCCCTGAGTTACGTAAGAAAAAGTTTATATCTCAGTTTTCTGCACTATTGCTCTTACTGATCGTTATACTTGTTCCAAGAGTCCAAAAAATTAAAAAAAATTCCAGTATAATTGTTTTATTATTCTTCATAATCTATTTTGATTTTAGCTGGGTCTACTAAGATTTTCCTGAGTTACGTAAAAAAAAGTTTATATCTCAGTATTCTGCACTATTGCTCTTACTGATCGTTATACTTGTTCCGGGTGTCCAAAAAATAAAAAAAAATTCTAGTACACTTGTATTATCATTCGTCATAATATACTATAATTTTAGCTGGGTCTACTGAGATTTCCTCGAGTTATGTAAGAAAAACTGTATATCCCAGTATTCTACACTATTGCTCTTACTGATCGTTTCACTTGTTCCGGGTGTCCAAAAAATTTAAAAAAATTCCAGTATAATTGTTTTATTATCCTTCATAATATACTTTAATTTTAGCTGGGTCTACTGAGATTTCCTCGAGTTATGTAAGAAAAACTGTATATCCCAGTATTCTACACTATTGCTCTTACTGATCGTTTCACTTGTTCCGGGTGTCCAAAAAATTTAAAAAAATTCCAGTATAATTGTTTTATTATCCTTCATAATATACTTTAATTTTAGCTGGGTCTACTGAGATTTCCTCGAGTTATGTAAGAAAAACTGTATATCCCAGTATTCTACACTATTGCTCTTACTGATCGTTTCACTTGTTCCGGGTGTCCAAAAAATTTAAAAAAATTCCAGTATAATTGTTTTATTATCCTTCATAATATACTTTAATTTTAGCTGGGTCTACTGAGATTTCCTCGAGTTATGTAAGAAAAACTGTATATCCCAGTATTCTACACTATTGCTCTTACTGATCGTTTCACTTGTTCCGGGTGTCCAAAAAATTTAAAAAAATTCCAGTATAATTGTTTTATTATCCTTCATAATATACTTTAATTTTAGCTGGGTCTACTGAGATTTCCTCGAGTTATGTAAGAAAAACTGTATATCCCAGTATTCTACACTATTGCTCTTACTGATCGTTTCACTTGTTCCGGGTGTCCAAAAAATTAAAAAAAATTCCAGTATAATTGTTTTATTATCCTTCATAATATACTTTAATTTCAGCTGGGTCTACTGAGATTTCCCTGAGTTATGTAAGAAAAAGTTTATATCTCAGTATTCTGCACTATTGCTCTTACTGATCGTTATACTTGTTCCGGGTGTCCAAAAAATTTTTAAAAAATTCCAGTACACTTGTATTATCATTCGTCATAATATACTTTAATTTTAGCTGGGTCTACTGAGATTTCCTCGAGTTATGTAAGAAAAACTGTATATCCCAGTATTCTACACTATTGCTCTTACTGATCGTTTCACTTGTTCCGGGTGTCCAAAAAATTTAAAAAAATTCCAGTATAATTGTTTTATTATCCTTCATAATATACTTTAATTTCAGCTAGGTCTACTGAGATTTCCTCGAGTTATGTAAAAAAAACTGTATATCCCAGTATTCTACACTATTGCTCTTACTGATCGTTTCACTTGTTTCGAGTGTCCAAAAAATTAAAAAAAATTCCAGTATAATTGTTTTATAATCCTCCATAATAAACTTTAATTTTAGCTGGGTCTACTAAAATTTCCCTGAGTTACGTAATAAAAAGTTTATATCTCAGTTTTCTGCACTATTGCTCTTACTGATCGTTGCACTTGTTCCGGGTGTCCAAAAAATTTAAAAAAATTCC